TATCAGCACCATAACATGGACATACTGCAGACATGAGTGAACATGTGCATTGAGAACACCGGCCCCCGTGTCCTTATTTCCCTTCTATTGAGAGACAGTGAGTGACGTTATCATAGGGGACTTGTGTATGTTCCACCTGTCCAGTTGGAAATCTCTCTCTCAGGGCAAGAAACACAAAGGAAGCAGCAGGTGGGTCTTTCCTCTTGGGAAATTTTCCTGAATCCAGGAGCGCAGCTCTGGGTACACACGGATGGAGGAGTCTGAGGGAAACACAGAATCATGCTTGGTACGTGAGTCAGCAGCAGTTTTGACAAGACAGCTCTGTTTCTCCCTTCATAAGCAATAATGTAGATCATTAGCATGAGTCCATCCCTATGTCCCCCCAAGCTGTACCATCTCAGTATTACTGAGACGTGTAACAATGGGTTGCTATGGTAGCTGTCTTCTTTATTTCTAAATTATTTACATGTATTATTGAAGTACCTGATGAATTAGTCAGCAGCAGTTTTGACAAGACAGCTCTGTTTCTCCCTTCATAAGCAATAATGTAGATCATTAGCATGAGTCCATCCCTATGTCCCCCCAAGCTGTACCATCTCAGTATTACTGAGACGTGTAACAATGGGTTGCTATGGTAGCTGTCTTCTTTATTTCTAAATTATTTACATGTATTATTGAAGTACCTGATGAATTGACTTTACACAAACTGGCAACAACCGCTGGGTTATTTTCTCTTTAATTTAACCATTTTATCTGAAATAATTCCCCCCCCCCCGCCTTTTAAAATTTCTTACTGTAGTGTGCATGAGTGCACCAGGAACAGAGACAGAGAAAGTGAGGAGAAAGGGGAAAATCAACCACCCTGTCCCCAGGGGGAAGCAATCCTTTCTCCTCAATTCTCCCTATGGGTTTCCAGGCATCCACACAACGGTGCCCAGTATCATTTTTAAGTCGCCAGGTCCAAGGACTTTAATCACACAGGTGGCCATGTGGCCTCCAGCTGCCTTAACCTCTACACCATTTTCTAGACACAGGCCTTAAATGGTTCAAATTTATTTATGTGCTTCTTATATCAAGGGAAGATAGAGAGGCAGACACTCCCAATGACCATGCAGATATCCACCCCAAGTCTGCTAAATCACATGCATGTGTATATGTACCTGGCAGGAACATAGAGCCTCACGATGTAAACCGGGCTCCTCCCCAGGTCTAGAACATGCCCTTCCTGCTGCCCAACA